GAGTTAACCCACCCCGCACCCCCCCCCCGGGACCAGGATTTGAAGTCGTAAACCTTCTGTTTACAAGTCGCGCGCGCTAAGCACAGCGCCACCTAGCCAGTCAGTACACGAATGTTTAGGCGGTGTACCTTAGGCTACATGCAGCCACTCATCTGAACAGGGACGAAGTTTCATAAGCAATGTGTATGAGTCACATCCCACTTACGGGACCGTGAACAGCATCTTCCAATTACACACATATATACAGAGACTTGGGAGTCTGTTTATGTAAATATGCATTTTTTAAACAGATGTAATCGGGATGTGAGGGTGCGACGGAATGCATCGACACAGCACCGTTTATGGCAGTATGGCTTATGATAACGATCATTTCCAGCAATCAATATTTGGTAACTCATGGCAAGCTAAACCGTAGAGAAGGGCTTCAATGGTGATCCGAGAATTTGTCACTCGTAGTTTATGTAAAGCCGACAACAGATAGGCCTTGCATATTACACCCAGCTACGTCATGTACAAAGTTTTGTTTACTTAAAGCAGACGCCCATATACATAAACTCTTAAATACCATATATCACACTTTGTTATAATTCCCAATTAAAAGGGGGATAAATCAACCAAAGAAAATATACATGGAATATAAACACTATTTTTTTTTTTCATTTTTCAAACAGAAGCCAAAGCATCACTCAAAAGCCACATTAAGATATGTTTTCCACTACACAAATATACCACAATCGCATTGCATTGACTGCATGAATGGTTGAGTAGATTTGATATCTGTAGAAAATACAGATCAATGAATCGGTGTGCTTTTCAAATGAATCAGCATTGTGTTTACACACCGAGTTGACTTTCAGCATGTGAGCCAATACAATGCAGCTAATTATCGTCACCAGTATTTCAAACAACTGACCATTGAAAGCAATTTATAAGCAACAAAAATGTTCAATAACGATATCATATATTGCACTTTTGCTTAATATTATTATTTTACCAAAGTGAAGGAAAACCAACAGGACATGCAACGGAAGGACAGGCGGAAATGAGACTTCCCCCACAAATGGTACATTCCACATATTGGTAACATGTGCAATAAAGGCATTTAGGGGTGTACCATTTTAAAAGGGAATCTTGAGTCCTCTGCCACACACCAATTACCGCATGCAAACCTGTTGATTTACTCATTAAGCATAGGCTGGAGTCATCAAGCACGTATAAATTGTGCGTATTAACAGTTGTTCATTAATGCACCTGATAAATTAAAAACAATTACGGCACTAACACCACTGAACGTTCCGCAACACGTAGCTAATCCTCGTAGTTACATAACAGAAACATCAAATGAATAAACACAAAAATAACATATTTGGCATTTTCATCATTTTACGTTTTGACAATTGATAAAATAACAAGACAATTCCATCTGTTAAGTCAAACTATGAACGTTTTTTTTATACATCGAGGAAAAACGATATTGTTCGTTGTTGTAACGTTCTAATCTGGCCCTACTGGACATATGTGGAAAAGAGCTTGATAGATCATAGGATTCCCCCATTATAATTTAATATTCTGATTCTGAACCGTCCTTCTTTCACGATTGGCTGGGACGAGTCTGGAGTACAGCCAGACATGACCATTGAGACGTTTTACCTCCTACACAGTTTGTCTTGGAAGTCTAGATGATTTACCATGATTTTATATTCACGATGGAGATAGACATACATCAGCATAGTGGGGGTCAGTAAATTTAACGCATATCAATTTAAAACAGAACATGTAGGATACCAACATGATTTTAAACTTGCAAACGTGAGCTTTCATTCTTCAGCATAGGCATAAAAAAGTAAAATTTTTTTTTTAACTATGATTAAAAAATTGGCGATGGTTGTCTGTTTGCCATTTGTAACAGATATAATTACAACACCAGGATGAACAAATTTTAGATATTTTGCATGTGGTATTATGACGCTACACTGGTTGATGTACAGGTCGGCGGAGTTGAAGGTCAGCATTTTAGTAAAGCCTGCATATTTACAACACCACATACTCCTAAATTAAGAATACTTAAATAGTTAAAATCACATGTGTTTAAATTATTGATACTTGTGAGAAGTGCTCCGTCAGGCAAATTTCTACATATATGTAACAATTCATATTAAAATGTACATGCAACTTTAAAGCTAAGTCTATATGAAGTGTGGATAACAGCAATGAGATCAAGGTCAATTCCTGGCTAATGTAGTGCTTACAGAACCAAACCCTTAATGAGTTATTTCAAACCATTTTACACTGGTCCCAAGCTGCTACGATTCAAAAAGTTGGTCCAAATAGCGGCAAGTGCTTTACTTCAGTTAATTTAATCATAGTATACACAAGTTTACGAAAAATAACCCAGGCATAAAATGATCCTCTATGAATTCTCTGAAATCACTAGTTTTAAACTGGGGAAATTTTTGTGCAATTCTGCAGACTCCATAACTTAGGGTTGACAGATAATTTCCAACATTCAACAAATAAGCTCCGTCTTTAAGCAGAAAACCCTCACATCGTTGACTTGAAATGTATCTACACGTTCATTCACCATTCTTCGAAAGCTGGCGTCACAATGGAACATCTTTTAAAAATGTTGGCCCCTATTCATATGTAAATAGGAACGCATGCCAATGCAGCTGTTTAAAAACTTTTAATTGAACAAGTGATGTTTTACTTGAAATGTTGCACTGATCACACACCTGTCCATTGAAACACTACATTCATCTCTTTTAAAGAATGTACAATTTGGCCTTATCGAATTGACATTTTGCATGCATCTCAAAATTAGTTTTCCCCGCACGACGACTGATTTTGACATCAGTATTGAATTGTAGGTTTGATGGAAAGTTATGCTTTTGAACAAGGTTCTAAATTGTTACATGAATTTGAAGGGAAATACAAATTGCACTCAAAACTTTGTGCGACTCTCCATTATGATTTCCGCATATAAAAACCCACTGCCCTTGAGACTCCACAGACCCAATCATCACATTTTACAATGGAGAAAAACAGTTGCTGCGCAGAAATATATTTTACAAATGTGACAATCATTTAAGGAACGTCATTACAAAAGTTAATGCGGTGCAAGTGCCTACTGGCATTTAGTAAATCCACATTCCTATTTCGCGGACGTGTGTAAAAGTGAAGCCCAAAGGACGCCATAAGGAAAGGGTTAATACAAATGCAGGCTCATTCACTTGCATATTGTATACAATGATAGTGTTGGTGGCAGCAGCAGCAAAGCAAGCACCTGCAAATCCTGTGTCGTATTTGACCTCTCGGCTCTAAAAAGAGTAACAAGAGCTCAAACAAGACTCGTACACGGGCTTCAAGATTCGATGCAAGACTCAATAACAGTGGGGGGGCAGTGATCCTAACTTAGGTGGTCAGTCCCAAACCACTCACTGAACAGTGTGTCATATCGTTTCTCTGCCAGAATGTAATTTTCCAATTTTAAATAGTGCCAACTACAACACTGAATCAGCTCTCGGTGTAATGTTAACACAATGCCTCTTACACACTGCACGATGTGAACTGAACCAAATGCAAGGAACCAAGTCACTTGTTTAACTGCCAAAGGAAACAAAAGGATGCTTTATTGGCCCCAGCTGGTAGTGAACCAAGACAATATAAATTCACGGAAACACTGAAAAAGAAAATCAATAAACTTCCTCATTGTCTTTCAATCCAGCAGGTGAAGTATTTAATTTCAATTAATTTCATGCCTTTTGTCAAGTAATACGACATCAAATCTCACAAATATATATTCAATTTATATATATATAGACCATAATTCACAATACAGTCTAAAAGCACGGTGGCAAACTTGGCTGTGGTGTTGGTCATCTGTGGCAGGTAGCAAACAACCACACGTGAAACGGGTAATATTAGTCATCTGCACCATGAGAATTGGACCATGAGAGCATTGACTGGTGAACCATTAGAAATGTGATCGGGTCTTCATCGTACATATTAGACAGAGTCCTCTCATCACTCTCTGAAGAAATTACTGGGGTTGCTCGCCGCATCCCTGTCAAGAGTGAACTTAGGTCATCATCGCTCCAAGGTTGATTCAGTAAACTCCCATCTTGTGGGAAGTTAACATTGGTTGTTCTGTGGAAGGACTGGCCTCTGCCATAAGAATATTAAATAATGCGTCACAGTGGCGAGATGTTACCTGCCACGCTTGGTATGTAGGTTGTGGGTTCGATTGACCTCAACGCCTGTATATATAGAGTTTGCATGTTGTCTCTCTGTGGTCACGTGGATTTTTCTCCATGTCCTCCAGTTAGTCCCTCCACATTTACAAACATGTGTTTAGAGTTTGGCTGCTATACATTTCCACGTGGTGATAAGCCACTTCGTTAAGCTCCCATTTGTGGCTTCTGAAAAAGAGCTAAATATCTCAGCGCGCTTTACCTGATAAAATAAAAAATAGTTCCGTTGTTTTTAAAGTACAGCTCAGTGGGCCTTAACCTGGTAAAATAAAAATAGTTTAGTTTTAATAATTTAGTGATAGTTTAAATTGCCACTGCTGGCTGAGGGCCATCTGTTGGCATAAGTGCCACCACAAATACTTGTTTGTCGAGTGATCCTTTCACAAGGAACATTGGACACCTTGCAAGCTGACTCAGTATGAAAAGCAAGACACTGACCATTAGGCCATCCGGTCACCACTGACAATGGCGGCGTTTCGTCACATCCCAACAGCATTTCCGTGCATTCATATTGGCATGGCACAGCAAGGAGTTCATTGAGCTCAATACAAAGCGAACGCACGTACACGTGTCTCCACCACATCACGGTGCTCGCCCATGAACCGCGCAGTACCTGTGTGACAACACAACACCGCGAGGCACAGACGCACGTGTGCAGCACTCGCATACATACGGCAGGTGTTTAAAGGCACAGAATCATTCCGATGTAAATGAGAGACAATATTTTCCGAGAATGCATTTGAAACCAAATCTCATTACTTAAAATTTTTACTTTTCAATGCATCTTTCATCTGGAACAAAAAACTCAATTTACACGTTTTATTTTATCACATTTTCGATGCTACAAAGAGCACTGTACAATATTATACACAATGCTTTCGGGGTGGGGGGGGGGGGAATCACGCGGTTACCTCTTAATTCAGATTGGAAGATAATACTTACAAAGTCACCACCGATGAGAAAGAAAATATCTCCTCTATTTCTTTTCTCTACCACCAATCAGTGGCAACATTGCATCCAGCCTTAAATCCTAAGACAGCCCTGAGATACAATGGTAAACCATTATTTGGAACAGTTGTAAGTATTATAGGAAACAAGGTCCTGTGCAAACCGCGATGTTCCTTGCAGGTGTCATAATTCGTCTCTTGCATACTCCGCGAAAGCTTCTAACTCCTCTGTCCAGTCACTGCCCACGGAATCGCTTGGATTCTCGGTAGGATCCTTCTCAGAGTCCGAGTCCAGCTCCTCACTCGATGATTCTATCCTATCAACCTCTTCTGCCGAACCGTCAGCATCACCACGATCACCGCCACAACCTCCACCGTCACAGCTGCCACCACCGCCATCAGCCTACTCCTTCGTTTGTGCCATCGCCATCTGTGTCGGTATCACAAGCCACGTGCCTCTCGTCACAGGTTATCTCAGAAGAGTCAATTTCACCATCGTCTTCCTCGGACTCTCTCCTGGGCCTCCCTGCGTCCCCTGCGGGTAATTCCTGATCTTGCTGGCCAGACCGTGCACCATCATCGCTGGGGTTGGTCGCTGCATTGGCCGCATGGGCAAGGTCCAGAGTTCGTGAGAGTTGGTGGTTTTCACACTGCGCCAAAATCTCTCCGGACTGCTCGTCACTTTCCCCTTGCTGATTTTCCTTGCTGTCACCTGCAAGGAATGCATGCATGGCAGCCACTTTCATATGACACAGTCAAAAGTCAAAGGAAAGTTTCATATTTCGTGAGTGGGTTGGTGGGTGGGTGGATGGGTGGTGCGCATTCTCACAGAGAGGCTGGGCACGGCTCGCCAAGAGAACCTCGAGCGGGCCCCGGGCCAGGGCCTCAAGCAGGATGCGTCCCTCCTTGTGGAAGAGGAAGAGCAGAGGAACGCCCACATCGTCCGTGCTCTTGCCGTCACCCGCCATCTGGAAGAACGGTGCCGTGTCGCTGCTGCTGCCCTCTGTGTCATCTGTGTGGGGCAGGTGTGAGAGATTACCGGTCAGGGGTAGCAGCAGCAGAAATGGCGTGGAATTGATCGGACAAGGCCAAGAGATCGTGGCCAATATTGTTGACAATGTGAAAATTAATAGTTGCTTCCTTTTTGTCCACCAGACCATGGAACTGTCACACGGTCAACATGAGACAGAGGAGGTCTGCTTTTACTAGACATTTAACAATTCACCGGCCCACCACAATGCAATGAATGTAATGATTATATTAAATCATATTTTTTGTCTCATTAGTACCCTCACTTGTATTGTTAGTCTCGTTGGTTCTTAGTTCATTGTATAAGCCTACAGGTAAAACGTACCTATACTTTGCAAAAAGAGTATTATGTAGAACTTCTTTTGCATCGTATGAAGCCAACTGTGCTAATGAGAGTATATGATTCTTAAAGACTGGATTTAATACTGAGTTGACATATCATGAGCATGAGAATTTACTTTTTAAGGCTGAATCATTACATGTCTCGCTCTTAGCCTTATCACCCCGATGTGTCCGATTTAGGTTTTGCCATTAGCTGCTTATCTGAGTGACGTGCCCTCCATCTTCACATGTACCTACTTAATTTACCTATTTTTATTTTACCAGGTAAGGCCCACTGAGCTGTATAGCACTTTTTCAGAAGCGACCTGGCCATAAATGATAGCTCAAGGAAGTGGCTTATCATATGAAAATGTATAGCAGCCAAATACTCTAAAACACATTTTTCAAAATTTGGAGGGAAAAACCGGAGGACCCGGAAAAAAATCCACGTGACCACGAGGAGAAAGACGACGCAAATTCCAAATATACAGGCATCAGGGACATGATCGAACCCACGACCTCCTGCATATCAGGCGAGGGACCGCACGTCTCAGCACCGTGACCCACACATTGCAATCAACTCTTCATACTCACACGTGCAGCGATGTCCTGTCAAGCTCTATTCTGACCTTCAGAGTTGCCATGACATTCTTAGGATCCTCAGAATGCAAGGGCCAGGAGCCTCTTTCTTGGTTACTTTGTTTTTCACCCACACAGTGACACAAATGTTACTCAAGTCTCAGCCACCTATCTTATAACAGTCAAGAATAATAATGTACTTATTTGCCCAGAAATGCCTCAATGAGCCTCAAGATTATTTTACAAGAGGTTTTTGCTCAAGATGTTCGGCTAATTATGTTTTAAGTACTGCCGTGTGTGAATACAACTGCAGTTTCCCAGAGGAAATGTATGCACAAGAGGGTGTAACACTCAACCACCTACTTGCTATACTACCTTCCTGCTCTAAAAGTGAACGCCTTACAAGTGTGACCTCAAATGTGAGAAATATTGCCACAATGCCATTTCCACAGATGGACGTTGTCACATCACGTTGTGATATTTTCGTTCTGTTATTGCAGTGGCACTTGGCCAAATAAGCCACGAGACATAAAACGGTGCATTGTCTTCGGTAAGGCAGATAACTTTTCAGACTGGATTATAAAATCACGATCGATCGCGGTCACGTAGATTAGCTGAAACGTCACTGTAGTACGTCGAACTTATTTTACACCGTACGAAGCCAGCCGTGCCTATCGGAGGCGCACGAGCGAGCAGTTGGCGAACGTGGCTGCGACTCACCAATGATAATGGTTCCGACGCCGCCTGCGAGCTGCACGTTGCGCGCCTTCTCCGCGAACATGCACTGGCCCCGCTGCAGCAGCGCGATCTTTCCTACGACGGCGTCGCCGTTCACCAACTCCGAGCATCCGCTGAAGGGCTCGCCCACCGCCACCAGCGCTTGCACCTTGCGATGGAGCGCGCGTCGAGAGGGAGCAACGGGAGAGGCGGGAGAGTTGGAGAGTGTGAGATGTAAAGTTCGCTAGGGTGTAAGTGTAAAGTAGTAACTCGGCGGGAGACGTCTTCACGGGTAGCACACTCTTTATTTTCACCAACTTGTAGTTACACGGATGACGAACACCCACTTCGTTACACGGGTGACTAACACCCACTTAGCTACTCGGGTGACTCACACCCACTCAGCTACACGGGTGACTAACACCCACTTCGTCTCACGGGTGACTGACACCCACTTAGCTACTCGGGTGACTCACACCCACTCAGCTACACGGGTGACTAACACCCACTTCGTTGCACGGGTGACTGACACCCACTTAGCTACTCGGGTGACCCACACCCACTCAGCTACACGGGTGACTAACACCCACTCAGCTACACGGGTGACAAACACCCACTCAGCTATACTGACACGGGCTCTTACGCCCCGTAGCCTTCCGGGACACACCCAGCCGGGGGTGCCCGTCTCGGCTCTGGGTACCACCGTCCCGACCCACACGGGCGTCGGACTACGGGTCCCCCAGTCTCGGTTCCGAGCCACACAGGGCCCCGGTCCTCACAAGGACGGCGGGACTAGGGGTCTCGGGCCACTACCTCCTCCACCCCGTCTTCGGTCTTCAACTGGTTAACACTGACCACGAGTGCTCTCGCGCGTCTCCCTTTATACCCCTCCTGCGGACGTCGCTGAGAGCACCCACTTATCTGACCAATCACTGCGCACTCGCTACGATCCTCTTTTCCCAGCTTGTGTGAGCGCGCCTTACCACCGGCGCGCGCGTCCATGCCACGCCCACATCGCGTGCCCAACCCCGCGCCCCGTGATCCATCACTGTCGGCGCACGTCAATACCACCACTACATAAGGATTGTTGTCCTGATGACTTTGTGAAGGAACTCAAAGAGCATGAAGGTAATGTATTGTATGTATTTTGAACTTCTTTCGCACCGTATGGCGCCAACCGTGCTTATAAGAGGCGCGGGGGACGAAAAACAAACGAAACATAGAAAGCAGGTTCTAGAGAAATTAATTTTCAATTTAAAATTTAAAAGTGGAGTTATCTCCAGTGGCTTCCTAATAAAAAGCCAAGGTTTTGTGTGGAAAGCGGTACTAGTTTAGTTTGGAGTGGCATAGCTCACGAGTTGACTTCAGAAGCAAACTCATCTCATCTGCATTGGAGGCCCTGGTAGCAATATCACATTCCTATGATGGACCAGCCTCTTTACAGGATAAACACTATTCGTTGATTTTCCAAAAAGTGGTATCCTATTTTCTTAACCAGGACAAGATGATGGGCCAAGTTGGCATGATAAGGACTTCAAATTGTGAGTCGAGTACTCAGACCACAGCACCGCTCATCTCGATTATTGCATATACACATCAATATATTTTACTGATAATGAAAATTATTACGATGACGATATATATGCATTCTGATGATGCTCGGTTCAGTGTACACACATTCCAAAAGTCAGAACAATATAAGCCAGTCAGCAAAGCAAACAAAAAAGCAAGAACAAAGGTCATGGCGCTCACCCCTTTTTCCACAATGGCAAGGTCCACTCCGAACTGCGCAGGCCCAGCAGTCAAAACCATCCGCCCGAGAAACGGGGGAGACATGATCTGCACGACGCGGGGCGGCAGGTCCTCCTTCTGCTGGTTGGACAGGTCCATCATCTCCTGCATGAAGCGGAGGCCGTCCGCCGCGTCCCGCGAGTTTGCAGCCTGAAGATTGAGCACAGACGACGCGCATTCGTTCATTTATTCATTATCACTCAACGCATTCTAATCCTAAACGTCACAATTAATTCAACACACTATGGTATATAGCAATACGAGTTCATACATGATGTATAGAAACTTAAAGTATACAAAAAGGTATTCTCACAGAGCAAAAAATTGGACCTATGACAAGAGTGTTTTAGAGGTACAGTGAAACCTTGGATTGCGAGTAACTTGGTCTGCGAGTGTTTTGCAAGACGAGCAAAAATTTAAATAAATAATAATTTGATAAACGAGCGAGGTCTTGCAATACGGGCAGTACGTACAGTATACGCTTTGTCTGCCGAGCGTCACGTGATTACAACTGAGCCAATGGTTCTTCTCTCTCTCTCGCTGCGGGATTGTGGGTAATCATCTCCCATGCTCGTTCTCAGTCGGCGTGTCTCACTCGTATAGTCAACATCCGTGCGAACGTATGTCGTTTACTGTAGTGTTGTGACCACGTGTGTGTGGGTAAAGCATTTTTTTTATTTTGTGTCCAAGTGTAGTGACTGTCCTTTAGTAACTGTACTGCACCAATGCCCCCCATGAAGAAAAAGGTTGAAAAGGAAGGCAGTAAGAAGGAGATGATTACGGTGGAAGTTTAGAAGGAAATCATCGAGAAGCACGAACGAGGTTCCTTGTTAAAGTTGCACAAAAAGAAAAAGATTCCAGTGAGCCAACAGATAGCAGTGATTCCGTTAGTGACATTGAAAGTCGTCCTACACAACAACCCTCCTCCTCCTCTCCTTTCTCGTCTCCCTCACACCAGCCACGATTAAATGTAATTACTACATTTGATTACTTTATATTACATTTAAATAAAAATATAAGGTACAGTATTTTGTATTAATCATTTTTATATGAATATTTTTGGGTTGTGGAACGAATCATCTGAGTTTCCCTTTATTTCTTATGGGGAAATTCGCTTTGATACACGAGTGCTTTGGATTACGAGCACGTTTCCGGAACGAATTATGCTCGCAATCCAAGGTTTCACTGTATATGGGATTTCCACAAAAAATCCAAGCTTGCCGCAACACATTGAGAAGTGTTGAATACATACAGTTTAATGCATGCATCTGTCTAGTGTTTATAAACCTACTGATTGGCACACAATCCTGTTTTCTACGTAAAAAATTTTCTTTACATATACATAACATACATATAACACTGTTAATAAATGGGAGGAAAATTTAAGTTAGTACCACTGTGAGAAGTCACCAGTCATCATTCTCTGGGAGAGAGAGGGCTCTGCCACAATAATTTGGAATTTACATCACTGACTTGACATCACCAATGATGAGTAACGGCCATCTTCTCATTTGAGCACAGACATACTTTGAGCCCAATTCGACTGTTACAAGTCGTTCCTTTGTGTCAGATTTTTGGTGAAACACAGTTTCTTCTCTATTACCAACAATTGGACAAATCATCGAGGCCGATGTGTTTCATCGGGTTTGTCAAAACGTCGATCTGACCGACCGACTGTTTGACGTAAGCGGAGCAAGACTGCATGCCTAAACAAGCGAGCTTTCATAATCAACGTTTTTGGGTTAGATCGCGTTATTTATAAATGTGTCGTAACCCTCCACCACCTGATATGGCCAATCAGCAAAAAAGTGTCACGTTGACAAAAAGACAAATAGTTCACTACTTTAGCCCACCGGTGTGTTGAAGCGTGAAACCACAACATTTACATTTTTGAGTACGACGTTTCGCTGGTAATTGCATCCAGCATCATCGGGCAATTCGCCAGAATGGTGAGGCTCTGCTCTTGCTCCCGGTCTTAAATAGGGCAGCAGCAGGGTGACGTTGAAGATGACTGAAGGGCCCCGGATCCCCGTACCCCGAGGAGTACACAACCGACCTGAGAAGCGTGATGCACGAGCTGCACCCTCCCGTCCGGCAGCTGAATGATGTTGATGCCCATCTTCTTGAGGAGGTCCACGTGCTCCTGGTTGGTGGCCAGGAAGTCTCGCGCCCGGAGAGGAGGTTCAGTCCCAGGGCTGGCTGCCGGCAGGGACGGAGAATCCCTGCGCCACACAACCACCGCTCAGACCGACGACCTCCCACAGTCGGACAAATATGGCAGTAACCGAATAAAAGGCCCGAGTGGATTGTCACAAGAAAGTTACACTGAATTAGCCCAGATCAACGAGGTGGTTCTCCTCTACAACAAAACACACATTAACAAAATGAGTTCATGAGACCCAGATGAGGGCTAAGGAAAATATGGAAAATGCAAGTGGAGAAGAACCTAAAGCAAAGATGAAATTCTAGAGCGATTAATAAGCCAGAGAAGCAGGATGATTGTAGGGAAATTATAATAATTTTACAGCCCTTTGTCAATCCGCTGCTGCATGAATGTCTCTGCACGCCACGTAGGTCGTGGGAGTTGTGTGACCATACGTAACAAAGCTAGTTAGAGTAGGATGACGAAGCAGATTGGGGGCAGCACCCGGTCAAGATATCACTCACCATTCACGTTAACCATGGCTGGGAATTGAACACCGCGGTGTGCTTAATCCCGCTGTATATCTAATGGTGACCGATCTGATGCAGAAATAGGGAAAGGTTGCCAGCCGATGATGACGACGACGACAAAACAAACACTTGCAATGACTTCCCTGTGGGGCTGCGGGTACGGGCAACTTGAGCAGAGCATCGCCTCGCTACCTGGCGCGTGTGCCCTGCTCGGGCACGGCTCGCGGAGGGTCCAGGCAGCGGTGCAGGATGTGTCATGGCCCGTACCAAGCGCCCCCGGGCAGGGAACTTGCCAAGCGTCGTACGACAATGTGACCACACGGTGCAAGGTTCATTTAGGGGCTGACACGTTCGATGCATTACCTGTTTGGAGGCAGGCACCTTGTAGCCAAGCCACCGCAACAGTCTTAAACCTCTTACCAATCTGCTCCTTATCCCCTTAAGCTCATCATCCATGTAACCTCTTTCTCTTCTAGTCTATGTGAAATGTTCACATCGCAGTAAGACCTCCTGATTTGGACTTGTGTAAGCTGGAATGCAGGGTAAGAATTCCAGCTTACTCAAAAGGGAAAAAACTCCAACCAGTGCACCATTTTCAAACTATTTAAGATGTAGGTGGTCAGACAAGGCTTTTGAATTCAATGTAATGGCATCCATTCATAAAGCTCTATGCTAATCTTATTCTAGATGAACTTCTCACCACTAGGAAATGCATGATACTATCCCCAACAATTGTAATAATTACAATTGACACGTGTTTTGCACACCAGCAGTCTAAAGCTACAATATACACTCATCTCCACTCTTTTGGACTCCCGCACGCGTGCAATTCGGTGAACCCGTTCCGCTTGGACGCCTCAGTCGTCCACGTGCTTTGTTCAGGCTCTCTCTTCACTCACCGTTGACAGATTGTGACTCGTTGACCCGCCCATACTCGACATTTGAGATAAAGAGCTTCATAGCTCTTGAGATTCCTCCATTCCAAATAAAGATTTTGATAGATTCTGATTTTATAGACACAAAAAAACTCTCCAACCCATCAAGCTTTTGAGTCTTCCACAGCCAGTGAACCCAAGCCTTCTACATCTACTGCACAGTGATGGTGGGCTCAGATTAAACTGTAGAATCGTATATTTTTAGTTTTATAAAATTAGATTTTTAAAAATATAATTAGATAACACTTATTTAGTGTAAATTTAAGATGTTAGTTGTTCAACGCATCTGAATATAATTTAACTGTAGAGACATGCATTACTATTAGAATGCTAGACATTACACGTAACTGGGAAGCCGTCTCCCCAATTAGTCTGGCTTTAGGAGATTAAAATGTGCGAACAATGCCTCGAACAATCATCCTGGGTTCCTTGTTAAAATGTATGATGAGTTGCTGTTTACCAGTGTGCTTTATAAGGGCATCTATTGCATTTTGAGTTATCCTGCATTAGAAAATCACCACAATAGTGATAAAATGCTATATAATAGTTCAACTGTTGGGAGACTTGTCCCTAACACAGGAATGTGAAATCTACAATCCTAGTTCAGCTCAACTAACACAGATGGGTGCTGTCACTCACTCATTGACAATATTTTCGATTTGACTACACAATACAGTATTTGCATTTAAAACATTCTAATAGAGACTGTGGTATTTCAATCAGACTATCAGAAAATTGAGTCATACCGAGTGATAATTAACCCCTTAGCAAATGATACAAAAATTGTATCTATACCCCTCTGTCAATCCACTTATGCTAATGTAATGCGAGCGTAAACGGGGTTCGCTGCTGGGCTCTGGCCCAATCATACGGCCCGGGGTATTGGGGGGCAGAGCCCAGTATGGGGGCATATGGGAGGGCCCGCCGTTCACCTCGGGTCCAATCGGAAGCGAGGTGAACGGGGTGGAGCCAGCAGGGCGCTATCAGAAGGCCAGATCTGACGGTCCGGAAGGGGAGGAGACAGGATCACGTGGTAAAGGGGATATAGATGGGAGCCCGAAGGGCTCCAGGGTCAGTTGTTGGAGTGAAGAAGCTGGACCACGTTGGGTGGCCGGAGGGGATCCGCGCCATCAGCCACGTGGCTGGAGGAACTTCGGCACGCCGTCGGCCAGCGGTGTGCGGAGTGGGGGGGGCGGAAGGACTGACGAGGGAGCGCGTGTGGGGCGCGCGTGAGGAGACGCTGGTCCGCTGTCAGGACCAGCGGGGTGCGAGCAAGAAGCTAAATAAAGAGCAACGGAGACCAGCAGTGTGTGACGAAGTCATTCATTACATTAATGACACGTGTCTGTTCATTACCATGGACCGATTAAGTGCAACTTTGTAGCTGAGCATAGTGAAAGTTCCGATAAAAATGGCTCAATCTCCCCAGGAAACTTTCCAAAACTGAGCAATGTACTTATTATAAACACAGAGAGAGGGGATGACTCCCCCCGGTTCTTACTGTTGCTGCTTTGGCTTTGGACAAACTTCATCCACGACGTTCTTGAACGGCTCGCGGAGCGTCTGAGCAAAGGTGGGGTCATTTGGGAAGAGCACCTGCGAGTTGGGGCAAGCCCAGTCGGAGCTTCCATCGTCCGAATGGGTGAACGCATTGCCCTGCAGAGGGAGATTCCGAGTGTCAGGCGACGGTGAGGTTGTCAACAAATAAGATTCTAACAAAAGTCTTAGCGGGTCAATGCTCTAAGAAATTATGGGGTGCAGCAAATCTCTGTTGGTGGCCCTGAGCCAGTGATGGAAACATCTACAATTCCATATGGACAGTCAATTTTCCCACAGCTTTTACCACACAGGAATGCTGTGGTGAGCCAACCAATGATTAGCATTTTAATTTGTGGCCTTTGAATAGCAAATTGTGTGTGTTGCAAACAGTCCCATTAAGTCAGATATAATAACACATTCTTTATCCAAGAAAGCATACCTGACCAACCATAATGAACGTGTTACATATGGTCCAGCCTGAGATGCTGGCCCACTATCCATCTGAAGCCACTATGTAAATTCACATTGGAAGCGTAATAGCTGGGGAAGCTATAAGAAAAAAACCGAGGCCTCACCGTGCTGTTGCGGCTGTTGTTGGCGTTGCTGACTGACAATGAGAGGGGCAGCAGGTGAGCCTCCGTGGTGAAGACGTAGGCCTCGATGTCAAACACCAGGTCCTCTTTCTCCGCAAATAGCAGGTACAGGTACTTGAACATCTCGGCCAGGAAAAACGAGTCCATACTGTGGGGACCGTGCAGCAACAGCAAACATTGAGAGAGATTTAATTATTCAAAGTAGGTACGATCATGGTGTCATACCAATCAAGGTTGTTTATGTCACCACAGCTTGCTCTAACTCCTTCCCTTTTGGTATACCTAACTGATGTAGTCTATACACAAACTCCAAAGTCTGCTGTCATATTATCCCGCCATATGCTCTCCGATCTTGATCATTGACATCTGGGTACCACTACAATGTGTGCTACAGTTAATGATGTGCACTAAAGCCTCGTTTCCTGGAGCAGCCAGTGTGCCTGGGATGTTGTGCCAATTGCTCTTCACGCATTTTGTGTGCGCGGAAAATGAATTGCCATGAAAACCCAATGCATATAACCGGATAACGCAAACTTCACACGGATATGTGAGCAGCAGAGTTTCTCTGAAATAAGTAAAGGTGCAACAATGGAATCACTTCCTCATGCCACTGGTGGCAGAAGGAACTCCACGAAAGAGAGCTCAAGAGATGCCCTCTAGAGAGTATTTGGCCTACTCTTCCATGCTGGCCAGACTTCACGGAGAAGGTGCCCACACTTTATGCAACTACAAGCAAGCTGCCGTTAAAAATTAACTGTGGTGCACGCCCATTTATATTTCTGGGTGGACAGACGCGGGGGGAATTTAAGAAACTTGCACCATCGCTTCAACTGCAGTGCCGGCAGATCGAATCAAAGAACGTGAGAGTCCGTGCCAACCCGTTACAACGGGGCAGCAGCAAAAGGCTCAGTCCCATTTACACGCACCTTTACATCAGCCTCACCTTAACAACTATTTTCAACCAGTCTACACAACAAAGGCTCATTCCTAACAGCGTGCTTCAGCCGCACCGATACCTCACAATAATAATATCCAGGGCCTATCTTGGCTCCTCCCACCCTCAACCAGTATATATACAAGGACTGTTTTCTTAGAAATTTCTCTGACTTGATACAGCTATCGTGCTGTGACGGTTCCACCTGAAGACGGAGGCTTGTTATGCCTCCGAAACGTCGTGATTTTTATTTTATTTTTATTTTACTTTTATTAATTTAACATTTTTAGCTACGTGACTTTACCGAAAAAACCTAAGAATATGAATCCTTGCAGTCACGAAAGCTTCAAATCTAGAATTAGCACCCCTCTACTTTCTGTACTGCCTCCTTCCAGGCGCGTCTCGCTGCCCTCAAAGTGGCCATCTCGCACACATCCTCTCAGTTTAATCCACCGTCACCACAAAGTCTATGGATTATAGGCGTGCAACGACTATAACCGTTTAACACACTCGGATTTCTAAAACTGCCTAAATTACGTTTATATTACAGGGGTAAAAGGTGTCCTTTTTGAAAGAAAAAAAGTGTCCTTGTCACATTTTAAAATGATCACTATTTGTCACAAGCATCTGATCAATATCCACACGCCTCTCTGACGGACCGTTCGTTAAACGGTTTAACTATGAAGCCATATCTCTTAATCTCAATTTGTACAGCTTTGCCGTACGTATGTCAGTGACTATACTTTTCTAGCTTAAAACTCGATTACCATCTCAACAAGACCCATTTCTAAACGAGGTTCTCATGCATCGTTATCAAGATCAAGTACACACGGATGAATAAACGAATGCATGTGATGTTATTTATTCACCGGTCCTCATGGCTATTGGTCCTGACGTCCTTCATCGCGGCAAATCCACACGGCACGCGTGCTAGCTTGTTCAAGTTCTCCACGATGGACTTGCCAACTTCCAGATAATAGGGATCACCTGTTGCCTACACATAAACAATATAATTAAAAGTTAGCATGACCTGATATGGTGACAACAGTACGATTTTATTTATAAACAAGGATAACTCTAATAACATTATCATTGTTGTATTTGACCAGGTGGTGCTGTGTTTAGACGGTTATAAGTTCAAATCTTGGTCTTGGGTTGTCTCAGCCCATCATCGTTTGGGAACTGATAAAATGAGTACCACTTTGTTTAAAGATAACATCGGTTGTCACATCAAGAGACTGACCCCTGCAATGGAAATATGAACTTTCAGACTGACCAGGTAGAGCTCGTTTTATCAACCCCATAGTGATAAGACCAGTCAAGCTTGGCCTGGATTTGAAGTTATAATCTCATTCCTGGGGCCCGCTAGTTCTACCAACGGAGCTGTATCAACTGCAATATTATGCAAACACTCAATGTGCTGCAGTGGATCATTATCAATAATAAAATAATAAATCAACTTCCATCATGTGTTGGAGTGATATGGATTGTACTATTGCTGGACTGTGAAAGGTGTGAATGGCATGGGTTGTTTTTTTATCCAGCAGTGGATATAGACTGGGTGATGACACATTTAACAACGCATCTGCTTGTAATAGGCGGGGGATCACAATTCCATTCCAGAATATATTGTTTGACATTGTGGTGAATGTAGCACCTCTTAAGAGTCTTCAGGGGTCAAGTGACCCCATTACATACAAAAATAGATATCAATTTTCACACGCACGATGCATGGCATGTGTCGTGAGCATTATAATAGATTTGCATCAATTAATCAGTGCATCGTTACATGACTGATTAATTTAAACAATTTCAACCCTTTGTCAATCCAGTGCTGGATGATTGCCTTCCCCATGCCGTTGGGCCTATGGGTTTTGTTTAACCATATTTCACCACAATGGTCAGTGGGGGTTGATGAAGGAGGGGTAACCCAGGATCCGTTCAGATATCACTCAACACTCAAGTCAGCTGTGACTGAGAATCAAACTCAGTTCGTCGGGTTCATAGCCCCGTGCGCTAACCACTGCCCCACCGCACCACCTCACACTGCTAAAATGCCTAGCTAAATTTTAACTTAAACTGCATAATAAACTGCACCATAGCTAAATATTAAACGTCCACATTTTTTTGTAGTTGGTACCCACCTGAAACGAAAAAGGGTCAGGGTACATTTCTGTAAAACCCCACGGTTATGATCACACTCTCTTTCTCCCCCACCTTGAACAGGAAGTAAGTGCTCTCGGCAAACTCCGGCCTCAGTGGGTGCTGGCCCCAGTGAACGCGGAAGTCGGTGGTGAAGGCCTGTGTCGGGGACACAAACAACAAGTCCTGCAGCCGTGCCTTTGCTCCTGAGCCAGAACGTGAATGGACTTAACAGTTGCGCCCACTCCCATGCAATGTGGGAAACTTTTTCTTCACGGTCCCTTGTAAAGATGATTTCGCATGCACCATCATCATTAACAGATTTTTAGGGAACCTCAAGTTTACAGTATGTCTAAAAAACAAACTGCAAAATCATAAAGGTGTATTCAGAAAAATTTATTTATTTCACTTGGCTGAATAAAGTGGAATTGTTAAAGCGTATAACAGAGACTTCACGTAAACAATGTAAAACATGGGTAAATGCTAAACTCATTTGACAATACGTGAAAATGTATGTACATTCGGGATATGGCAAAGGCATGCAATGTGAAATACCGCAAACTGACTAAATAATAGATGCCTGGTATTTTTAGCTATAGTGATGTCCTACTGGAAAACTGGAAAAGAGCTTCATAGCTCATCGGATTCCTCCAGTCTAAATAATATTCTAATAATCGCCACTGAGCTTCATTGGCTCCCTCAAGCTCAGCACAACACATTACCGACGTCGCCTGAAGTGGTTACGCGTTATAAAAGGATGACACGCACAAACGCAACAAAGAGACTGGCACCTGCAATAGCGCAATCACGTCGGGGCTGCCACGTGGCATCTAAACCGCAGTAGGGGAGGGAGTAGGTTTTATTTATGTCCGCACCTCTGGGAGGAAGTTGTGTCGCCGTGTCACCTGGTACAGCATCTCATGGGTCTCGATGGCTGGCCTGATGTCCCCTTTGAGCACCTGAATGCACACAGGCCCAAGAGAGCAAAGAAGTGAGAGAGGACTGTATCAGGAATGCGCTTCTGCTTAGTAGATCACTGTCAAAGGCAGATAGTGTTATGTCCGTGTCAGGGAACTGAGCCAATTCTACTGAGAGCATGTGTCAAAAAACCAAGCTTGTAAATGTCTCAAATGTAACAAGTTGACGGTATTATCCGAGGCACGGGCGACAGCACAAAAAACTAAATGCATAATCAGGATTTGTTTTCACTTTGACTTAGTGCTGATATTCGTATGCATACAAATAGAGAAAGCAATATTTGAAGGTTGACCACACCTCCGATTATCACGGTTGGCCACGTACGGTGCGAAAGAAGTTTAACATACATACATAATGAATCCATTCATAATGATGACTCTTAGGATCAATATTATGAGTACCACTGAGAAAAATTAACATTGGTTGTCATGCGGAGACTGGCTCCAGCCATAGGACATTTCCCCCACTGGCTCAGAGCTACTGACAAAGACAACCTCCACCCCATGCTCGTTTAAGCAAGGAGACGCATTCACCTTGACAATGACATAATTCACGAGACAAGGAGCAGCATTTTAGATAAAGGATTCTCAAATCATATGCTCAGCAAAATGTCCAGTCTCACCTGCAGACCAGGGAAGAATGCGAGTAGGGCGTCCATCCACGTCTTGGCATTCAGCGTCGGCTTGTGCATATGGACATCCAGAAGGAGTGGCGGCTGGCTGATGTACTTCATGATGGCTTCGTAGTGCTGGAGGCATTCAGGGCACAAGTCAAGCACGGGTCGCTCAATGTCCAATAAAAATCGTGTTAAAAAAATGCATTGCCTGCACTGTGACTCTCATTTCCCAGCCCGCAGTCACATTGTACTGTTAATTGGCGTGAGCAATAGGACCCAAACTTTTCACATACTGATACAGAACCATAAAACATTGAAGACTGACATAAAGCTGTTGCCGAAATTATTATCCGGTATCTCATTACAGTAGCAGTTGCACAAGGCTCAGATATTGCAACAAGTCTCCTCTTACAAGGGTTATGCGAGGCCCTGCAATGTTGGTGATTACTAGCACATGACATTTTTTTTGACGGGTGAGAATCTCGGGAAACAATGACTCTAGTGATAAGGAGACTGAGAAAAAACTAAGAATAATAAGAAGGTTTGGGATGAAAAGAGAAGCACATAAAATAAAACTAAAGTAAATACTTTTATGAATGTTGACATTTTCATAACATTTCAATTAGATTGATACAACCTTAAAAAATGGAGGCCTCAGTGCAATGCTAAGTTTATTAAAGACGACCATGCTCAGTAATAATGTTGCCCCCTTATACTCATTACACTATCTATTCTGCACGCACCAGTTATCAATGCACACGCATTAGACCATATGAGGAGTTAAGCTTCATGACTTGTGAGCCCAATGAATTAAGTGCAATTCGTTAATGCGTGTATTTGAATCACTCATGCGTACACAAAATAAGGGTTGACTGCAAATACCTACGATCCATCCCACGTTGGGTCAAGCCTGCATGCATTTTAAAACCATTTTCATAATTACATTTTAAAAACAGCGCTTCTGGAAGGAACAACATATTTTATGTTTATCCCAGTTGCGCCGTGGTGGCGAAATAGTTAATATCTCGCGAGATAGTTAATATCTCGCCATGTATGCACGTTGTGGGTTTGATCCTGACGCTGACGCCTGTATATTTTGAGTTTGTGTGTTCTCCCCATGGCCGCGTGGATTTTTCTCCGGGTCCTCCAGTTTTCCCTCCACATTTCGAAACAGGCGTTTAGAGTATTTGGCTGCTGTAAATTTCCACATCATGACAAGCCACTTCGTTGAGCTATAATAAGTGGCCAGGTCACTTCTGAAAAAGAGCTAGAAAGCTCTGTGGGCCTTACATGGTAAAATAAAAAAAGTTTACTTTAAGCGCAGGAGGCTGGATCTCAAGGGCCACGTGAACAAAGCCAAATTAAAGATACCTGCTTCACCCCTGTGAAATGCACCACTTACAATGTTGAATCGTTCCAGGAAGGTGTCATCGCCCAGTAAGATGTAAGCCTTGAACAGGTACTCGTAGTACGAGTCGATTCCCGCTCCTACGCCACTGTCTGCACCAAACACAAACAAGAAAGGCAAAGATCCACGCCCCCCTCTCAATAGCCACACAGACAGCTGGGGCCAGTGGTGCGCAGAGGGTGGCGTGGCCAGCATCTTGACAACCCACCGCCGTTCGTCTCTCCTGTGCGAATGTTTACACACCGCCACACATCGGTAACTCGTTCAAGGGCTGAGTTGACTTGGGACAGTTCAGATAAAAATTATCCTTGATGTTAGAGTCGGCTGGGAATCACACCCAAGATACCAGGTTGCTAGCCACGTGAGGTATAGCAAGACAAAATCTTTATTGTTAACGCTTAGAAAGTGGTACCGTGCACTAATTGTTTCTAAAAAAGAACGCAGCACTCTATAAAGTACAGTTTTCTTAGGAGCACACACCAGAGGAACAATTCAAGGGAGAGGAACTGGAGTGGTTTCTCATTCTACAGTTGTTCCATCTGTAGCCTAGGGCATCACAAGGGGAGATGTTGTGCTTTGGAGTGAATGTTTACTTGAACTACAGAATGTCATGTATGGTGACATAGTTTGACATTCCTGCTTCAAATGTGGTCTTTATTTTTATTTTTACACGTGCATTCAATAAAGTTCCATGTGAAAAAAAACATGAATAGGGAAAGCAGACGCATATGAGAAATCTCCAAGATTCATAGATAGATTAGCAACCTGCTATCTGCACTACCATCAATTGGCTATATTATATCCATAAAGGCTGGGAGACTCTCACAAAATAAATATTTCATGACCGATAAACACAGCCTCCACAAATGCGGGATTAAAGCGTGCTCCACCAAGTACGTTAGTGTGCAGTTGCTGGGTGGATTGTTGCATCGCAGAATCGAGAGAGGTGGTGACTGCCTGGGGAGGCCTTCATCCAGCAGTGGATTGACCATGGCTGATGATGACGATGACGCCCTGACTGGCACCACAACAAAATGAGTGTCACTAGCATTGCACTACGACCTTCCAAGACGCCGGTGGGTTCAGTTGAACCGCTTCCGGTGTGACAAGGGCAGGGTGTGTGCCGCTTCCAAATATCGATGGCGCATACTACGTGACAGCCCACTGTGTGAATGCGGAGGAGCAGGAGACGGTGGCGTACATCGTCTCCACCTGTGAAGTGCGTCAGGGCGTACCGGGCGGACTGGTTACCCTGCATGTGCTGGAGGAGGAGGCTGTCACAAGGCTCTGTGGCTACGTGGGCTGACGTCCACTCACAAAGCATTGCCATATATATAATGAACACATTATTTCTCTCGTGTGGCTGGCGCTCTGTGGGAAAGCCACATGTAAAAGCATTCGCTAAGTAAAATTGCAGGACCATTAACTCACCTCGCCGCACCCAGTCACCCGTGTGGATGTTGATGACTGTGCCCACCAGGTTGCTGCCTCTCTGCCTCTTGTCCCACAGAAAATCCATGGCCCTGCGTGCATGATCCTACACAACGCACAGCGATGGGGAATGTCATTTCACTTGTACAGCAAAGTGATGCACACATTTTTTTTACTATCCTGTTCGCGCACTGGATTTTAATGCCATCACCTTTCAGGAAAGAAGCATTGTAGTGTCCTGACCAAGTCGGCCATTGAAAGTTATAATGGGACAGTGCCATACAAACAAGATTTCCTTGTCCATACAACTGGTAGAGCTATAAGGCAAAAAACACACACATGCTGACGAATATACACGAATTATAAACAGGGATAGCAACACACAAGACGACAGATAGTATAAGTACACACACCACATAGGACGGAAGAGCAAGCCTTCATGGATTTTAATTGCCTGTTATCTCAACTACTCCAATTTGTTAATCTACTCCATCCCAAAAAATACTGCTTTTTTATTAACCTACATGAATCTATACACAGCACAAGGTTATGCCTAAATGCTTTGCAGTAACCAAAAGTGCAGAATTGCATTCCCATTGTTTTCTGTAATTCTCACTCTCCATTTAAATTTTTAAACCTCTTATTAAATGGAAATGATGGGCGTACTACGTGACAACCCACTGTGTGAATGCGGGGGAGCAGGAGACCGTGGCGCACATAGTCTCTGCCCGTGAAGTGCGTCAAGGCGTGCCGGGCGGACTGGTTGCCCTGCACGTGCTGGAAGAGGAGGCTGCCGCATGGCTCTGTGGCTACGTCGGCTGACGTCCACTGACATATAACATTGACAAACATACGTTTCATAAGTATTTTTCTTGCACGTCTGGTGCTCTTTAACCGCATGACAGTCACGTGTAAAAGCATTCGCAAGGTAACCTCAAACACGGAGTCCCCTGTGAGGCGGCTGAGAGCGGCAAACTCCAGCAGCATGGTGCCCGCGCACGCCGTACACGTGTCCACCTCCACACCCGTTCTGGACTGCGGCCGCACCATGCCGTGCTTGAGGTTCACCTGCCAGGGGCAGCGGCACAGGTGGGGGTGAAGGCGACCGCGCAGGCGGACGGAGGCATCAAAGGATAAATGGAGACCTCGGGAGAGATCCACGATGCTAATGCCGCGGACTCACTGAGATGATGAAGATGTCATCGGCTGTTTAGTCAACGTGTAAAATTTGGCCCCGCTTACTACGACTGCCAGCTATTGTTGTTGTGGCTCGGGGGGGTTGTTATGCTGAGCTCACGTAAGTGCACCGAGCGAATCCCACCACTGAGCTCCTGTGTTCACGAAGCTTTAAAATCAGTCAGGTGCTCCTTAATAACGCGATAGCAATATAATTGGAGTGCTACAACGGAGCACCCGTGATAAGCTTAACTGCTGTTTTATTATGTACGAAGCTGCAAATTCATGTCGGATATACCAGCACTGCGCAGCCTAGGTACGCAGCTTCAAAATCAGGGCTGCTTGTGCTTTGGGTTGGGGTCTTTAAGCATGACGACACTCACTTTTACCAGGAACTGAACAAAACATGTAAGAATAAGCCAATTAGTTGCGCAAAATAAATCCTTAAAAGACTAAGTTACAGACGTGTGAGTCTGCTGCAGTAGAGAATCGCATCTCTAAGTTTGCATATACAGGACGCTTATTGGGCCCTTCCTGCTGAAATAAATAAAATCTAAATGCATCGCGAGTGATGTAACGTCCCCGATTTTGAATGGTTCACCGTACAATGACCACTAGAGGGTGCTGTCTTCAGCAGTGCAGCAAACGGTCAGATGATGTGGCCAAGGCATAAAGCGAGTAAGCAGAGGAAAGGTGTGGGGGTGCGGGGGAGGTGGTGCGGGGGGGGGCGAAGAAGTACTCACTCGTGGGTAGGGCAGGCCGCTGGAGGTGTTGAAAGCCGGCAGCAGGCGATAGCCAACCTCCTTTGCCATGTGCAGCAGCTCCCCGCTGTACCACTGCATGCGCTCGCCCTTCTCCTGCAGCATGATAGCCATCACATGCCCACCCAGCAGCCCGCTGGCGCACAACACAAAACGTAAATAGCAATTCAGGGTGATCCGTTTATAGATACCCCACGTATTTCAAACGACGCTGCTTCCTTCTCAACAGGTGATTGAATGTCGTGAAAGCAATGGCTCCATGTGTTATGTATGCTTGTTGAATTTCTTTCGCACCGTACGTAGGCAACTGTGCGAATCGGAGGTGCGAAAAAAGTTCAACAAGCAGTCGTAGTGATGAAGATTCGCGGATCTTTGGTACATATAACATCTAGTTCCAGGAGAAATTTTATTGATATTTTATCAGTAATTTCTTCAAATTAATTTTGAAGGGTGTTTATAAATTAATCACTCTTATATGATAGCACTTAATCCAGGAAAGCCTCATCGAGAAAAAATGCAAAACTCATTAGTACGGTCTTGCATTGGGATGTTTGGCCAATTCCTAATAAGTATTTTGCATGTCAGAGAAAACTGGCGGATCTGAAGAGCCATACACACTAAAGAGTATAGCGTGAAGCTTAAGCATAAACAGGGCAGAATGCCACATAGTGCACCATGATCTAGCAGGCGCCTCATAACCCTGCATGTTGAGTTTCACACAAATACGATGCTCTCTGCTATTCACCAATCCTTCCTCCATGACGACTCTGAATTAGAAGTGTCAAAATCACGATCTTGAATGACAAATGAATAAACTACTCCATACATTCAAATTACTATAATTAAATTCAACAACAACACATCTCGTGACATTGTGGTTGGAAAAGATAGCCTGCTTATAAAAATGAACGTAGAAATGGTTTGGAAACTAATTTCTAAAAAAATGCTCTCATTTTGTAAAAGTGACCTGGGCATTAGTCTGCCAGTAGGGGAAGATGATTGTTCCATATAATAATCCCAATTGCGTAATTTGCAGGCAATTTGCAGAATTTGGAAAATTTGGCCTCTTGACGCTAGCACACATTAGCCCACTCTTGCGAATGACACCAGGGGAACTTTGGCACGCACTGTGAAGCAGTCATACAGACAGTGCATATTTTTGTGATTATTTATACCTACAGTAATAACCAGGGCGGCCACTGGATTCGAACCATGAACCTCTGCAACAAGCAGCAAGCGCGCTACCGCTAGGTCGTGTCTACACTCGGCAATGTCACCACGAGTGTTGTTTCTGATGTGATACTCAAATCTGTCACAACAGGGATGAATATTTTAAAAATGAGCGGTTGATGTAACTGTGGGTGGGTCTCGAGTGAACATTGCACGTACTGCAGGTCTGAGGAGTTAAATCACCCAACCAGCCCACGAAACAATATCCAGGGACCAAAACAAATCACACACCATGCCAGAAAAACTTTAAAATAACAATAATCAGAAGATGTATTTATACTGGAGGAATCAGAAATGCTATAAAGCTCTTTTTCACAGATGTCCAGTAATCAAAGCTGTCAAAAATAAGACTCTTAGTAAAGAAGCAATGTGTCACAAACAGTTGTCCAACATAAAGCAAATGAACGGGATTGTTCAAAGTGGAAGATTATTTCCCCCTTTTGCCCGTCGCGAGAACGACGCATGCATATACATTTGCGTCGCGGGGAGGGCAGCGCATACCCAAGCACGCGAATGTTGGTCTCGAAGACGGAGACGACGACGTCGTGGTCGAGCCGTGTGTCCAGCACGACCATGCGCACCGCGTCTTCAAACTCATCGAGACGGTTCAGCACCTGCAGGGTCGTGCCGCAGAAACACGCCACCGCTAAGCACTGACATCCGTACGCCACGGCCGTTGTTGGACGGCTTCCAGAGTGGTGAAATACAAACAAATGTTTAAAATGTATGCTTTCGCAACCAATATTATCCATAATTAAGATTTTGTTGGGTCAGATCCTGTAAATATAAATGTGTCGTTCAAATTCTGGCTATCGCCTGATAAATCTGGTTGTAATCACCAGTGAAACGTCATACTAAAGTTGTAATTGTTGTGGGTTTACCCTCCAATACACCAGTTTTCTGAACTAGTCAATATTTGGCACGTTTTGTTTACCTGACAAACCTTACCAATTGGCTTTGTTGGGTGGTGGCGGGTTTAATGACACATTTATATTTACGGGACCTAATCCAAAAAATCTTTATCCGAGAAAGTATAGCTGCGATGATTGGTCAGTTAAGTCGATTGATGAATGAAATATTGTAATAGACTGTTTCTGTGCCTCTTAAAGTTGGCAGACACCCCCGCATCATGCCTCCTGAAGGCAGGAAATCCCTATAAGACACGCCCACCACTGTGACGAGCTGATGATACCAGTGACGTCACGAGCCATTGCCCGTCACCTCCCATCCAGTGGGGACATGGTGGGAACAAAGATGAGGCTATTTTTACGACAATGTGTGATGCTGTCAGCCAGGTAATCAAACCGATAATTGGGAGAGTGATCATTTACTTCCATAATCGGATAACCCAGCTCTACTGGAAAGCCTCGTTGAGTGTCCCCTCATTTTCAGGAGGGTACCACAACAGGATATTTGGCCAATTCCTCGTGAATTCAGTGTTTTGTATGTCGGAAGAAAGTGGAGTGCCCAGAAAAAAAACCCCCTACATAAACAACTAAAAGTTTCACACGGATGAGCCTACGTTCTGCCAAGCCATTTTGTGGCCTGCTCACACCCCCAGAGGATTCTGAATTCACAAAAAAGATAACCATGTAAATCCACGAACCCTGTCTCCATAGAGATATGATGAAAGCATAGCACCAAACAAACCCAGAATAAAACAGGAGCATGCTACGTTTAGACACGCATGAAAAACCGTTTCATCAAACCTTCAGTTAAGCTGTGTACATAGTAGATATGAAGCACAAAGCTCACACCACAGTACTTTTCATGTTAATCTGGTGTCAATATAATGCATTATCTATTTTTTTTAACAATGCACACATGGTTAATTAGGCAAATGTACAGGTGCACGGCAGTGATTACAGCTTTGTCAACAAGCACGAAGCTATGCAATAAATACCCGAACAAAAACACAATGCCCAGCAAGTATAAAAATTTGATTCCACCTACCACAAGGGTATCCAAAGAGTCAATAAGCGTCAAGGAAAACCTGCAGGGATGAAAATACCATTCAATTACAAAGTGTTAATAGAGTGTGAAAATTGAGCTATTGATTTTTAAGTCATTACACCTCCATTACTTCCAGCTATTGTACTTAATATGCATGTCCAACATCATAAATGTAAATGTGGAATATCAATTGACTGTTACACATCATAAAAATATAATATCTCAATAAATCAATTAGCCTTCATTCTATATCTTCACATACAAATTATACGTATGTCTAATGTCCTTCAAGACCAATATATAATAAGCAATTGTATAAGCATGAAAACTCTGGCTCTTCTGTGTCTCTGTTGAGTCAGGCATGCTAAACAAATACTTATGGTTTACCAGCTGTTATTGGCAAGAGCACTCCCTCCAAATATGGGGGTCCTGTCAGTGCAAACAAAAAATATTGTCCAAAATATGAAATGGTTCCTGGCAATTACTCTGTGATGCCAGTGACTGCTGACGAACGTCTGCTCTAAATATGCCTATAAGATACATTGATATACATGAGTGACACGGATGTTCACATTGCATGAATGTGGGCAAGGACAATTGTGTGGAGAGGCCTTTATCGAGCAGTGGATAGAAAATGTATGATGATGAAAGAGCAAACAAAGAGATATTAAAGACCCGACGGCTTCCGGTTTGCCAAACGAAGGCATTATAAGGTTGGACTCATTACACAAAGTGCTTGCCACAAATGAATCACAATACTTTTCTTATCTCATCAAAGAACATAAACAATCACGCGAACTCTGGTCATCCTCGCAGCGGCTTTTGGCACGCCATCGAAAAAAGATGGTCACTGCATCGTGCACATTCAGATGCAATTCTGCGTCCATCTGGAACTCTCTTCCCTCCGATATTAGGAAGCCAATGGAGCTATGGCACTTTTGAATCTAGATTAAAAACTAATTTCTTCATAAATACTTTTTTCTGTGTAGTTTGTTGTCCTTCCTCTGCACCTCCGATTAGCAGGGTTGGCTACGTATACATACACCTAAAGTGCTCATTGGGTCGGATGACCACACGAATGTAAATTAACCGCTGTCGTCTGGTCTTCCGACAAGGGTTCAGAGACATGCACATTCAGGGTTAATCTAGAACACGACAATGTTTAAAGATTGACAATGAGGACTTGCTCATGGAGGATCATTAACTTGTCTCGTGCAATGTCTTTACCTCTCGAGCCAGCGTGAAACGTATGGCATTCTGAGAACTTCATGAGGACACATTACGGAAGAAACGTCAACCTCCCGGGGGTTAAGGATGAATGATAAATGAACATTTTTGTTGCATAAATTCCTGCACAATTGTAATAATGTCATTGTTGTATTTATTTAGTTATCCTTACAGAGTCTAAAGCTTTATTCTGGAGGGTCTTGCATTAGGTTGTTTGGTCAATTTCACATCCGTTTTTTGCAAAAAATTGAACAAATTGTCTGATTCTTAGGTTTTCCAATTCATTGAATAACAGTCCTGACACGATAAGAAATGTGTTGCATCACTGATGAATATTAATTACATCGATACAATAGTCAGACAACTAAATCTGCCCAATATTAAAATTTAATAAAATTCATACCACTGCTCTTTCACAGGATTTTTGGTAATTCCAAGCATTGAACTGTAGTATTGTCACAACTGCACTGCACGTAATGTAAGGATTCGAGAATGCATGTCCCGCCAAAAAGCACGTTCGCTTGCAGTTCCGAGTTTAAAATAATCACTTAATTTAAAGTAAAAGCCCACCCAACTATATTGCACACTTGAGTGGCTTAAAATAACGAGAATTGATGCTTAGGGTACTGCTTCAACAGTCTACGGGGTTTTCTGTCTTTCTTTTAAGATGTAATTCACACTTGTCTGCCTCTCTTCTGTGCCTCTATCTCCACCCTTCAATTGTATTCTCCCCCCACCCCCCACAGATGCTCTCTGTTCTCCATGCCTCGAGCCTTAACCAAGACCATGGACCCATCTACATCACAGCAAGCACACAAACAAATTCTAATAATACTACAATTCATATTGGTATCTCCATGTTAGCTCAATGCATAAATTAAAGATACCTGTTCGGCAGACAACACTCAAGCGTCGTGCCACGAGTGCCTATCGTCTAGAGACAGCATGGCACACGAAGGGTTGGTGACACTAGCCACTTAATGGTGATATTTACACCCCATGGCAAGCACTCAAACAAGGCTGAGTTAACTGTGGGAAGGTCACCATAGAAAGCTTCTTAGCTCTATGGACCTTACTCAAAATAAACTGACTAAACCAGGTTCAGACCGCACGGGTGTTTGTGCACTGCTGAGAATCTAACACAGGTGGCTGGGACTTTGATAACCATTATACCACCCACTCCCCGCACAAACATAACAGCAGCTGCTATTTGGCACAAAGCGGCAGTGATGTCATGACGGCACTTGTGCTAGGGCAAGGTGCACTCTGAAGGCACATGGAGCAGCCCATACATGGGACACATTGGTAGCATGTCAACTGACAAACGCAGATGTTTGCCACCAAGTAAATAGCATCTAATCCATTTACACAAATCTTGGAACCGATATTAACACACACAAAACGCACAGAGAACAGCGGCGACACTAATTGAGGCACGTACTTCCCCAGGGCGTCGTCCACATCCCCCCGGCTGGGCTCCTTGCCTCTCTCACGGCCGCGACAGCTGAGGGGCATCAGCTCGTCGGCCGGGTACGCGTACCTCTGCACACCAGACGACACACATTCAATTGCACGCATGCCTCGGGAGTCGAATTGACTACTCAATTCCCGTCACACTCTATTCAACGCACCATACCTTGAGTGGTGAGAAATGTTCCCATAAATACATTACAGCAGAGGGAAAGCTGTCTTTGCTGCTGCTTCGGGGTGTTAAAGACCCCAATACTTCATTTGCAAATTTGCACTCACTGTGTGCTGGGTCAGAGTGTGCATGTTAATCAATCGAGCCATCACAGATCAATAAAAACAATGACCACATCATTAATGAACACTGCAAAGTAATTGACAACATATAGTAGGCCAATGTTTTGGGCAATAGTTACAAAAATTGACTAGACTATGGGACAGGTAAAAGTTAGCAATGTTAAGAACGTTCAGAAATAGTTTTGAATTGTCAAACGAGTAATCATCGTCAGGATGATCGTAATGAAGAAGATGATGATGATGCAGCGATTAAATCAGCTCGTGTGCAGGTGTTGGGTGGATTGTTATTTTAAATTAGCAGTATACAACAGCAACTGTACTGAGACCAATGCATTACAATAAGGTACATACGGTGATTAAATGGGTCGGCATACAAAGGTATGCCTCACTAGCACTACTCAGAACACCAAACGTGTGAAATCAGCTGGACTGATATAACCCACAGTGATATGGGGGGGGGAGTAGGACGATATTATGGTTCCCGTAATCCGCAGTGCATCGTGGAGGTTAGTCCCGTAAATCGAGAACAAAAAAACAATGTCCACGACGGCACGGTGTGTGACAGATTGTGGGAGGAGAGTCCCGAGTGATTCCATTAATCCACAAAAGACAGTTGCAGATTGCAGGGGAAGTAGCGGGCAAATGGTTATGGATTTTTCGAAGATGGTGCAAATCTGAATTCCAAGCTCCTATGGCAGGGATCATTCTATGTCAGGAGTCGGAAACCTGCGGTGGCTCCAGAGCCGCATGCGGCTCTTTAAGGACTGCTGCTTCGTGACATTATTCACATGGCATTGCGGCTTTTTAAATATTTAGTTTTTTTTCACCGAATTAGAAACAAAAATTGTTCTTTTTGTTATTTTGGTTGCCCGACCCCTGGTCTACGTGAAAGGATTTTTTTTTTACTTGATACCCGAGTCTAAAAAGATGCAAAACTATTTTCTACGAAAAAAATCAGATCAGCACAGATCATCGTATTCGCTGGTCTGTGCTGATGCGGAACTAAAAAAAAATAACTAAAAAGAGACTCGCGTTCATTCAGCTCTGCTGGACAAACAATGTGCAGCTTGAATATAAGATGGGGCACTGTTGCAAAGTTTAATTTCTACCTCAAATTTAATGAACTCTGCACACTGCTCATTCTGAACTAAACTTTTTATTTAAAAGGTAAGGCCCACAGTTCTTTTTCAGAAGCGACCTGGCCAGAAATGATTTCTCAATGAAGTGGCTTATCGTGTGGAAATGTATAGCAGCCAAATACTCGAAACGTATGTTTCTAAATGTGGAGGGAAAAAATGGAGGAACCAGAGAAAAATCCACGCGACCACGGGGAGAGAGACACGCAAACTGCAAATATACAGGCATCAAGATCGGATCCAACCAACGACCTCCTGTATACCACGGCAAGATAGTTAACATCTCGCCACTGCGGCGCCCTTTGAGCAGCGATACACTTGCATCATTTGCACCTAAAAACAGACTGGCTGTTGAATCTGTCTTGCGTTGTATTATGCATTTACGTCAATTAAATTCAATGTTTTCAGAGAGCAGCTGCACTCATAAACAATTAAACGGTAAATGCTAAGCTACATGAATATAAAATCGGCATTCTGTTTAACATATTTTTTTAATATCCTTTACCTTTACAAATTGCGTACGGATGAATTTGAATTTAAACAGCGTAAATTCAAATTCAGCTAATGGCATAATGGGAACTTCTGCCAAGATTAAACACACCATTGCTCATGGGGTTAATGACCTGTCACATATTTAATGTATCTATAACGCATCGCTGATGTACCAAAGATGCAACACCATGCTCACAGCGTACGGTTTGACAATGTGGGAGAAGCATTGGCCAGCTTAGACACATCAAATGCAATGACGAGAACACTGTCAAGCCGGAGAGACAAAGGGTCATCCCAACCTCGATCACCGTCGTGCCAGATGTAACCTATTCCATGAAACTGCTCCAGTCTTTTCCACAGTCCTGATATAGTTAAGGTAACAGGTAGGAATGCCAGGATTCATCCCCTCCACATTCAGACTGGGCATGATTTAAAACCATCATCAGATTGAAGATTTCCAAGTTCCTATGACAGGGATTATTCTATCCATAGGGCGATCACGCATGACTTCTCAGGTCAAGTCAACTTCTGACACTGTTTTGAGCTCATGGCCTTTTAGTTACAGGTGGAGCACTAACAAATGGGCCACCAAGCCATACAATTGATTTTTAAATGTTGTTCAGATCATTTTTGAAAAATACAGGACTCAAATGCCTTAAGCACACCTTGGTGACATTTTATCAACTACAAATGGATAATTTACAAAGATTGTTATTCGATAATTATAGGAGTCAAGGGCAACGTCTGCAACTGGGAGAGTATCGATCCATCTGGAGGAACGTTCAACAACGCTTTAACTGGTGGGTGGGTAATAATGATGGAACTTCTAATGAGGTTTCGGGAACAGCGTTGGTAGTGCTTGAGAAGCACAAGTTAAAAAGTATTTATACCACCGTCATCATTTACACGCGCTTATAACTCAGTTATCGTTTTTCTTTACAGCAGCCGAGGTGCAGCTCTATATTTTGAAAGAGGTACTCGCTGAAACTTCAGCTTATAAACAATCGGATATTTATTATAAACTTTTATAAGTTACTGGATTTTTTTTTTATAGGCCTGCCTCGGTGGAAAAGGTTTTACAGTATTAGGCTGTGCGATAATGACCAAAGTATAAGAATAACAAACACACCCCTGCCTATTGGATCACTAAAAAAATATCATTTGTTTCTTCCTGGTCCGACCGTTCCCCCCCTATCAATCAGAACGCATTGTGCACATAGGCCTGTAAGATATTCGCGCACGGTTGTTTTTTATCACCCAACGTGTTTACGGGCCTTCATTCTTGTATACAGGAAAAAAATATCTAATATCGAAAAAAATTTGATTTAAACAAACCTCAATCCACACTTTTTTCCTTGCAAATATGAATTGAGCATTAACTGCAAATGGATGTACAAGTTGTTGGCTTCAAGAGCTCAACAAGAGAATGCGCCCTATCCGTGCCCTCGGAGAACGAATGTCCAGTGGACACGAGTTCACGATTGTGGTCCACCGTTTGTTGTGCTGGCGCCGACTCGATGAGCACGTGATCGTGACTTCAAAAAAGTAATTTTTTTCTCATTCACAAAAATTCTAACTTGCGCCAAGAAAGCCTCGGGACACAGTTCACGTAAGCATCCACGAGATGAGAGACTTTTGTGTTTAAGAGTCATGTCCTCTATTTTAAATATACAGTACATTATAACAATATGGCAATAAAGTTGATTAGTAAAGGCACAATAGATGCATTAATTTGCGATCGTTAAGTTGTCTTAATAGTGCACACGTGTAATCTATGTGCAACTATGTGCAACGGTTACAGTGCGTGAGTATTTTACGATGATGTGGCACTGCCAACAAGGCAGTCACACATTAGGCAAACAAAGCGCACTGTTCCATTCTTTAGAGCTATTCCTGAAGGTCATGCACGTACTCGCACATTACACAAACTCATCCGAGTGGAGATAAAAAAAAAACCCACCAACGATTGTCCAAGATATGCACTCTTGCCTCAAAAACCTTAAAAGCCCAACCTAAATTTCGATTTAAAGCTTTCGTGACTGCAGGGATTCATCTTTTTGGTTCTTTCGGTAAAGTCACGGAGAATGGAAATGATAAAATAATAAAAATAAAACATAATAAAATAATTCTCATGACGTTTCGGCCACAACGCAAGTAGCCATCCTCAGGTGGAGAACAGGTCTGTCAGACTCTGTCTCCTCGACAGACCTCTTCTCCACTTGAGGACGGCTACTTGCGTTGTGGCCGAAACGTCGTGAGAATTATTTTATGTTTTATTTTTATTATTTTATTATTTCCATTCTACGTGACTTTACCGAAAGAACCAAGAAGATGAAGCCCAACCTAAATCAGTCCATCTTTACAAATACTGGTGTACTTAGACTTGTTCTCAACCCATATTCTCCAGGCACACAACGTATTAATCTATTTGATAGGCAGCAGCGAAAACCAAGGGTGGATGGAGCCCCTGAACCATGGAGAACAGTCACCGAGGTTTAATGCCTAAGTAAAAGCTGTGCCGATGCTATAAAAGGTAATTAGTCACTCTGCCGTAAAACAATATCTCTGTTTAGCTTTTTTTCTCAATTATATTCCAGTCATAATATCAAAGCGCTGTCACGGGAAGACATTTCAATTGCGGAACTCTTGGGGTGAAAGCAGCGCTTGACAAAAATACATTGACAATAATACCTGTCGGTTGTTAAGCCTCTCGCACATGGAACACAGCTGTCTGTATGCTCTACAAAGAAGTGCTCGTTGCACGTCAATTCCACCAACATATTTTTTTGATCCAGAGTTTGAGTAGGCCATATTAAATGGAAAAACTAGATTTAACATTAAAGTTTTAGCTTTTTTTCTAGTCTTTTACTATTTGGCTGAAACCATAAATTCCCAACACCCGAGACCTTGTTAAATCATGAGGAACTCTACATTTGAGCCAAGGAGCTCAACACTGCCAGCTGAGTGCTCCCTGCCATTAAATCTTCCCGTCATTTCAACTGCTGTCAAAGCCAATTTTTTTTTGCCTCCATCTGCAGCAGCGTAAGCTGAAAATGTTCTGTTACATCACATGATTAAAGAATTGGCATCAAGTTAAATGGAGGCACGTGGGTGGAAACAAACGGGGGGGGGGGGGGGGTGGCAATAGTCCAGCCACCCCCTTTATACAGCACTCACCATGAAGATCATGATCAATAAACTGTGCAAGTTAATTGCCAAAGTGGCTCATCTTAATGACCACAATTCCCATGTATTGGTCTGTCACACAAAAAGTAAATTTAAATTGTCTCTTTGCTCAAATAACCAACGCGGCTTTGCCCATCTTCCATTGGCAACCAGACGTGGACATTCCACATTCCTATGGTGGGAACCATTCACTACATGGGACAACCACTATTCACGTGACCGAGTTATCAACCCTGAGACTTTAACTTGCAAATTTCCATTTGCCAGTTGAGCGCTCTACCCACATTGCCGCCAAACCAAAAAAACAATTAACGCTTTACGTTAGTTTATCTGAGAAGGATGGCATCATTGCACATGTAAGATTGTTTTTCAGCTGACAGACTTGACATGTCAAAACAAATATTTATCGTAAGACTATACTCGGTGGCACTGTCAAAAAGGTAAAGAGTCCACGATGGCCAGGGGTCGACTCAACCTATGATCATCCTAGGGTTATCAAAATGCACACCACAGTCTATTTGACAAGCAAGAATAACTGTCCAAATAAGGGATTGTCCCCACCATGGAGATGTGGAATTTCAAAACCTGGCACAGAAACACGAAAATAAGTGAATACCTGTTTGTTGTGTAAACGAGCAGGGAGACTGACTTTCTGGATTTTAGCAGTGCGACATTGAAATATCTATTGTTGTACCTGCTCTCAAGGGCTCCTATATAAAAAGACGGCTGTTGTCCTAACTATAAGTGAGTCAGGCAGCATGACATTAGCTTCCACTTTGTTATATTGCAAAGGAGCAAACACATCCAGGGAAACAAATTCAGCCTTTAAACGACAACATCTTATATCAACGCAGAGATAGTAAAGACAAAGATCCCATTTGAATGCATTTGGTTCTGACAATGAGTTAGGAATACTGCAATTAAAATGTGAGCAGGTTGTTATTAAAGGTAATATTAGCGAGCTATACGGTTTCGGTGGCTTTTGTCGACTGTGATAGGCGCTGTGCATTCGTCCGTGTTCCCCGTGGGTTGTGGAGTCACGTGCCAGAGTCCCGCGTTATAAAACAGATCGCGTACAAAAAACCGGTGCACACACGGGCAGAATGCCAAGGCATGCGCACTTTGAAATTCATTTGACGCAAGCACACGTGTGCAGCCACCGCCGCTGCAACGAGTCAAACCGGAACGCGTGACTTCTGCATGAACACCAAAATAGGTTTTCATTATTTTTCAAAATGCTGGTTCCTCTGTGATTGGACAGCGAGGGTGATCACTAGACTTGCGAGTAAGTCATTTAAATGATGGAGTTGGAGATTCAATTTCCACAGATGTTCAGTCCTTTCCACGTGCAGGCAGATGTAAAATTCTCAGCTTGTTGTCGACTAAGCCTATCATTCTTGAAGTGTAAATAAAATAAGCAACAGTATTTACAAGTGGGCACGTAACGATGTATCAATTCAGCTTAACATCCGATTCTCATGCTCATAATACATGCATCGAATCTTCCGTGTAAAATTTGATTAACCATCGGTACAAGTAAAACAAAAGAGGATCAGCTGATCCAGAGATGACATTCAGCTTTTCAAAAGAGTGTTGTCCCTCATATTAGCCCCAATGAACTTTTGCAGAAATACTATTCCTATGCTGAAAATCCCAGTGTGATGTCGAATAAGCTTATCTTTCCTTAGGGGTTAAAAAAGACAAATACTACTCCGTGGGAAGTCCACGTTGGTTGTCTCGATGGACAAATTGGAATTTCCACTACCGCCCGAGTGTCAACAATGAATGTAAATACTGGTCCATTGCTCAATAGGGCAAAGATTATCTATGACTTTCATTATATATATAAAACGTTTAAATTGTATACAAATTCACAGAATTGTAAATACTGTGTAAAGGCCTAGCTAGTGGTTAAATCAAGGTGCTGTGCATATAAGTTACAAGCCATTTGCTGCGCTCTAAAAGGTTGTGTATTTTCACATCATACTAAGGCACTCAAATTTATTCACCTTGGCATATATGATTGCATAGCATGGAATGTGCCTGAAAAAAATTGCATGCACGTTCTCTACTCATGATGCATTCAACAATCATCAAGGAACCGGCAGCAAGTAAGGTTGTTACAGACTCAAAAGGGAACACAACACAATGGGGAAAAGGATGAAAGCAAAGACAGAAATTCTAACATAACCATAACAATGGCATTGTTATTGTGTTCAAAATCTAGAAAGTTACAAATTAACCACACACAGATTATAGCGTGGTCTTCATGCGAGGTTATCTTGCAGATAAAAAACAATTACCATGGATTTTTAAATAACATGTTTACAAAGAACTTATCCGTTTAATTTTGATTTCATAAAACTTTTATCTCTTTTTATTCTCTGGTAAAAGCAGATAATAAAGGCCAAATAGGTGGTCATTAAATTTGGCTCAAGCCACATTGTAAATGCACAACGCCGATTTCATATTCTGTAAAATAAGAATTAAGAATACGTACGCATGACCTGCCTGGTGGTGCTTATGGTCTTATACATGTAAATGTTTACTAGACTTTTACCCGTCCTAGGACGGGTGTATTGCAGCAAAACTGAAACTTGCAAGCGAAAAGCAGACCGCGACGTGATATTCTTTGCATCCATTTGTGTGCAATTTGTAAGGCCGCGGTGACACAGACTTATTTCATTTAAAGGTTATAATCCCTTGTTCATCATGACGTCCTTTTTACTTCTACGTCTCAGTAGCGTTACGGAGATCACGTGACGTGAGGGTTCTGCCTTTGTAGTGAGGTTTGTAAGTGACGCCGAGGAGGGGGGAGGAGGCGCCTCGCCCCCCATGTGGAGTGATGTCACCCGCTAATTATTATTAATGCAGGGGGGGGTATCCATTTGGAGGACGTTACCTGTTCATGATTATTAATGAGGGGGGCTGGTTGACGTGGAGTGACGTCACGCGCGGGACACACAGACATTCTTAGCTCATTATAGTAGTACATTATAGTTGTGGCGTCTTACCATGTAGCTGCCATAGGCATGGTCAAACATCTCCAAAACTTGGTCCCTGCAACATAAATAAAACAAACAAGTAAATAAATGGTTAACAAAAACACTCCAACAAAACACTTTCAAGGGAGCCACTCGTGGAAATTAAGAAAGTGTAGTACACCTCATTTTGCTACATTTGTTTATCCTGCTACGAGCCCCCGACCTTACAAACTCCATGTGCAAGCATTTGGAAGTCTGCGTAGTTGTTTAAAACACACAAGAGTGTGCACGGTGCTTGATTATATTACATATGTGGAAGCTTTCCTCTTTCAAGCAGCATTCAACCAACACACCTACGTCGCTCTAATACGGCAAGCGAACCCACGCCATTACAACACATGTGTGATAAATCGATTGCTGTGCACCTCTGATTAGCATGGTTGGCTACGTATGATGCAAAATACGTTCAACATACATACATACATAAGATACTCCAAGTAATGAAAGGTGTGCCTGTAACGCCTGTACAATAGCTTTTACATTCACAAATAAAACTGAATAATTATTTTTTATAATTCTTGTCAAGTTTAACACCCCGCTATTTTAACCTAGAAACAAAATAATACAAACTCAAAATATAATTACAAGTAATAATCTAGACAAATAGCCGACTTCATGTTAGTCAACTAATTTATTGTCACAATTTACACAGGTAGACAAATATGCAACCTATCAGCCAAGTTAACCGTTACTGAAAACAGTTTTGTCAGCACTTCCTCAACTTCACTACACGAGTGGAGTGCACGACTTCAGAGATGATATTTGTAGAGGCCCCTTCCTTTATTAACACACACGATCTCGCCTCCACACACTCTGTACTCGCTAGCCTATGACACAACACTAAACGTCCAGCATCGGCGGCGCTGACAGAGACAGTTAACAGGCTATCTAGCAGCGTAATGTCAAGCGAAGACGACAGCAACGACGAGACGATCCAATCCCAAACCGGCAGCCTCGAGCTCCTGCTCTCGGCCCTTTTATCCTACCAGCGTGGCCTGGCTCCGCCCTGGCTGCGCCTTCCTTCTCGAACCCACTAGCACGTTCTAGGGGCTCCCAAATGGGGCCCCTCCATGACTCTTGCCCCAGTTCCTCCGCCCTGCCGACACACCCGTGAAAATTCTCACCAGCGTGTGTACTGTTTGTACATCGCAGTTGCCGCTGCTGGTCACCAGCCGGCGCTATTACACTACATCACCCCACACCCCCTTGTTAAAAAAAAACAGGCATCCCGGCTGACATACAGCAACGTCAACGGGGTGGACAGGAAGAGCAAAATCCCAGAACCGACGAACATGTGAACAACAATACAGTCGCGACGCCACCCGCAAACAGACAAGCAGCAGTGCACAACTTGGCGCGTGGCGCAGGCAAAACCGTCGGACAACAACTACAACATTATACGACCCCCTCTCGGCGCCTATTATCCTCATCACGATTTTGACTTAAAATGCACAGCACAAGGGAGAGTCCGTTCACCAGAACGTAGCTCACTTGGGCCAGGTCCTTGACGCCGGTCCCCCGCCTTTGGCAGGATCTTGCACTTTATGGGGCTCCGGAGATTCGCACAAATGTCCTAAACGGCGCAGCCCCTCCCCTAGATTCAACAGAAAAGATCGACCGGGCTCCAACCTCCAGGCCCTCGCATGAGGCGGCCCCAGAAGATTTTCCGGGCATTAGAGTCTCGGATCCTGTGGGGCTTGGGGAGCAGTTGCACCCCAGCATCCTCTTGCGGCGTAGCCTGGCTGGCCACATCTAAAACAGGTGCCCGCTAGCCTCCACAACGGAGAAAACTACCTCTCCCAAACTTCAATCCGGAGGCCGTCCCCTGACGTCCCTTCCGCTCGGGCCCCGGCCCCACAACGCCATCGCCAGCTCCAGATCCCGCCACGTGGGCCCCTCTGCCCCTTCGGCGTCTCCCGTCCAAGCCGCCACCTTGGGCCATTGTTGCATGTTCTAATGCGCTTGAATCCACCACGCCACCCTCAAGGATGTCAGCCCCCTGTCCTCAGTAATTGTCAGGACGACACCGAACTCCTGCGCCAACGACAGCAATCTTTCCACCGCCAAGGAGTCAAGTGCTGCCCGGTCCATGTGAGGATCTGCCGTCAACAGTGCGCTGCGAAAAGAGAGGCATCTCGGCCTCCACTGCAAAAACCTTCTGCGGGCGTTGTATGGCGGGTCGAAGACGGCTGCTATCTGGGCGTACGCCCGTTGGAGGGTAGCCCGATCACTTCCCGGGATGGCCCGGAATGCCGTCAACGCATCGTCATCGAGGGCCGTCGGTAGGGCCTGCAGGGCCTACTCTTCCATCCAACCGACGGACAACCAAACCACCTTGAAGCAGCGTCGAAAAGTAGTTTAATCCCCTCTCGCCGCCACAAATTCCTGGACGGGAGGCAGTCGCCGGGGTCGGTATGTGGCTCCTTCGAGCGCCGCCAGAGGCGGCGCGCCTTTTTTGTCGTCCCACGCCGCACTCAAAATGGCGGGTGTCGGCCGCGCTGCGCTCTCAGCAGGCGAAATGATGGGTCACAACCGCATGGCTCCGTCGAGCCCCTCGGGCTCTTGGCCGGCAGGCGCGAACGCGGAGAGCTGCGCGACCAGCTGGGTGACGGTGACGAGGAGCAGGTCAAGGCGGCTGGCCACCTTTCGCCACTCATCCTCGACGCTTGACTGCGGAGGATCGGCGCCCCTCTTTCCCAGTTTGGCAGCCACCGCTCCTGCACCCGCGGGACTTATAACTGGGGTCCTGGATCCCGGGGCTGTCGGAGGGATGATCACCTAGTCGTCCTCGTCCTCATCCTCCGACGACACTACAGGTGGGTTTCTTTTCTTTGACGATTTCGACATGACGTTTCAACACTTCTGACACCAGTTTTAGTGCACGACTTCAGAGACAATATTTGTAGAGGCACCTTTCTTTTATTAACACACATGATCTCTCCTGCAAACACTCTGTACTCGCTAGCCTATGACACAACACTAGCCGTCTTGCATTGGCGGCACTGAGACAGTTATCAGGCTATCTAGCAGCGCATTTTCGAGCGAAGACGGCGACAAGACGACAGCAACGACTAGACGATCCAATCCCAAACCAGCAGCCTCGAGCTCCCACTCTTGGGCCTTGGATCCTACCAGTGGCCTGGCTCCACCATGGCCGTGCCTCCCTTCTTGAACCCACTAGCAGGTTCCAGGGGCTCCCAAATGGGGCCCTCTATGACCCTTGCCCCAGTTCCTCTGCCCTGCCGACACACCCGTGTATATGCTCACCGGCATGTGCACTGTTTGTACACCATAGTTGCCACTGCTGGTCACCAGCCAGCGCTATTACACTACATGTGCAAGCACCGCTTCTCTTCTTCAGTCTAAAATAATCCGCTAACAGTTTAGATACATTGAAATAGTGCATTATCATCTGACAGTGTTCACATACAATTGATCAGTACTTACCATACCAAAAACCCTCACTTATAATAAAAATGCAGAAGTTGTGATTTTTCCATGAGCATTTTCACATTGCTTGTTATTTATCAAACATAAACAAGCGTAAGACATGGCACATTCTACAATCAATGCTTCAAAATATCAGTGAGGCATTATTAATTGTGTTTTATAAGGGTTTTTCAATACTTTGCATTGCTGTAGATGGCATGACCATTAATTAATAGTGTAGTTCTGCAGATCGTGGACACTTCAACAGACTAATTTTGCATTCACTGTCAAAAAAGAAAGTACATATACAGCTGATAACAGCTTACAAACTCATGGAGGATGTAATATTTACAGAGAACCTGGTTCAGCCAAGTTCAAGCCTGACTATGTTTAAAATCATTCAAACATTCACACTCACGTGCCATCAGTTGTAAATCAAAGGGAGGTTTTGTTTTTTTCTCGACCCCTATGAGTAGGGTTAAACCATCACACTCTTGGTCTCGGCACTAGACACCACAATCATGCATCATCAATCCGGCACAGATACTGCGTCACAACTGTTGAGAAGCGTAGCCATTAACTGAGGCGGACTGAATTAGGGATCAAATGCAGGAAATGTGAAAAGTAAAAACGACAAACCGTATGCAGATAAAAGAGAGGCTTTCCTCAGTGAGTACAGCATCAATGAGTCTCAATGGGCTTTTTCAGTGGCGTCCTGCACTGGGATGTTTAGCCATTTTCATATGTGTTGACATTCCATTGCCGCCCAGCTCGTGTTTTGTAGAAAATTATCAAGATATTTACCGAATACAATTTACTGAGTCTGTGCCCAGCACTCGTGAACGATAATCAGAAAGTTGCTGTTCAAATACCAGTTCAGGGTAAACTTGGTTCATCATCGCTCTGGAGTCAATAACATAAGCAACACTCTGTGGAAAGGGTACAGTGGTCACCCAAGGATATACCTAGGCTCCACTCATAAGAATGTGGAATTCCATTACTGATTTAGGGCTGCCAACAAAGATGGAAAAAATCTCGGGGCTCATTTGAGACAGAAGAAAATACTGCTAAGTGTAAATATGGCAGGGGAGTCCCTTTCTTGTGGAGATATGAACCTCATGGCGGGACCCCTGGGGTCCCGAATAAACGGAAGTCAAAATCGCAATTAATTAATTTATTTTTGGCGACTCCGTCCTACCGCGCACATAAACACCGCGACCCACCTGCCGCGGATCATTCTGTTGTCATGTCGTCCAAGCGCAGTGAGGACGAATGTGCAGAAGAAACAAAACTTTGAAACTTTGATTAGCGCATCGTGTAGAGCTCGTCGAGAGGAACAGATCGCCGTATCGTTCGCCTTCAACAGACATAAAATGACGTCGCAAAGCAGTTTATACGAGAGCCGGGGGTTTATGGACCCCGGGGTCCTGCCATAAGGTTCATATATTCACTGCATTGAATTTTATTTTCAGATTCAGAATCTTTCATTAGATTGCAGGAGGAATCCGATGAGCTAGGAAGCTCTTTATTTCACAGACGTTCAGTATGGGCGGGTCAAAGGTACTGCATACCGACCCGAGTCAAAAC